TCTTCTTCTTCTTCTTCTTCTCCTTCATCTTAGTATTATTATTATTATTATTATTATTATTATTATTATTATTATTATTATTATTATTATTATTATTATTATTATTATTATTATTATTATTATTATTATTATTATTATTATTATTATTATTATTATTATTATTTCCTTTGTGAATAAAATACGCATAATAAAAATGACACAATAATGAATAAAAATAAAATTAAGACGTAGTGGAATGTTGACTTTTATTACATAATTGAAGTAAGAACGACCCACAGGTGTATAAGAGCCCCAGGTAATTGAGGTACTGTTAATAATAAGAGAAATCATTAACAGCTGTTGTATAGAAAATGGCCTTGTGTTTGTGCTCCTTTATTTGTTGAGGCTTGTTAATAGATTATAACAACAACAACAACAACAACAACAACAACAACAACAACAACAACAACAACAACAACAACAACAACAACAACAACAACAACAACAACAGCAACAGCAACAACAACAACAACAACAACAACAACAACAACAACAACAACAACAACAACAGCAACAACAACAACAACAACAACAACAACAACAACAACAACGCATGGCTGATATACAACGAAATAATAAAAGATTTTTTTAGTCTATATGTAATTACAAACCCATGAATATTATATAAGACACGTGTAAATATGTTTTAATATGTTTTTCCTGAAGTATAGCTTCTCCCTCTCACGCCAGCCACGTACATGCGCACTAGGACACACACACACACACACACACACACACACACACAAAACACACACACACACACACACACACACACACACACACACACACACACACACACACACACACACACACATTAATTTCCAATTCTGTACACCACTTTCCATTGATTTTTTCTTTTTACACATAAAGTAAATATATACTTGAAATGCACATATACCATTTATTCATCTATGTATTCGTCTATAATACGTCATACAAAGTTTATGATCAATATTTATCGATTATATCACACCCTATCACAACTCTTGGTATTATTTAGAATATATTTCTATTTTGAGGTTTTGGTTAATATTTCAGGTTTGCGTATTTGAGCTGCGTGAATTAAGTTAGTATTTTTTTTTTTTATTTTGGGAGAATTTAATCAAGACAGGACAAATAGGTCACGTATTCCCCTCACCATCATTATCATAATCATCATCATCATCAGCTGTCAACGTGCACATCATCTAGTAAGATGACTGAGGACTTCTACAATAGTAAAGCATAAGCTGGAGTGCTGCACTCTGAGCCTCTTCCCCCCACACGCCTCCCACCGCCCCCACCAACACCAGCTGTCCCCGTCCCCCGCCCCACCACCAGCTGCCCCGTCCCCATCACCACCACCAGCTGCCCCCATCCCCATCACCACCACCAGCTGCCCCATCCCCACCGCCCCACCACCACCATCTGCCGCCGCCGCTTGAACAAGTAGTTCTGTCGCCTGAAAGTCATTATATACTCGCTTCCAGGTTCCCGCCCCCTTGGTGACGTCAGAGGCGGGGCCCGATGGAGAAACCCTATCTTATGTTGTTCTGTTACCAGGTGGAGGATGGTGGAGTGTTCGGTGACTGTACGTACGTTCACTCACTCTCTCTAGACGTCATACAGTTCTTTTAGTTCGTTCATTTCATCTTTTTTTTTTAGGTCTAGTGAGTGTTAGGGCTCATATCCCCTTTAAAGAGAAAAAAAATATGAGAAATGGCCATAATTTTTCACGTGGGATGATTGTGTTCACCTGTTCATCTAAAAGGTCGTTGTTTTGTTTTTCCCCCTCCGTGTTTTCCATCGTTCTTTGTCCTAGGAATAAAAAAATATAAAAAAGACTCGGTTATCTACCACCTAGAACTCGTCCCCTCTCTCTCTCTCTCTCTCTCTCTCTCTCTGCTGTTATACGTCCACTAGAAGAGAGAGAGAGAGAGAGAGAGAGAGAGAGAGCATTTTCCACCGTAACTATTAAAAAAAAAAACTCACTGTTTACGAATGACGTCATGCAGGTTTTTCCATTACGACAACACTAATTAAAACACAATCAAAACTCCCGATATCCACGACCGATTCCTCCAATGACCAAAAAATCTAACTAGTTTTAAAAGAAGTAAAAAATTCGTGTGTTGTAATCGATAGTGAACGGAGGCAGACAGTCAGTGTGAGGTAACATAGCCACCTGTATATAATGGATAGTTTTGATGGATTCTGATGGATTCCAAGTCCTTTTTGTATAACGTGAGGGTGTTAGATGGTGTGAGGGGGTAGTGTATTCTCAGAGAGCAAGATCTGGAGAGTACATTAGTATTTCATTTTTTTTTTAATTACACGTCGTCGCCATCATCATTATCATCATTATAATCTTCATCGTCATCATTAGTATCATTATCTTCATTATCATCTTCAGTGTCATCATTACTATCATTACCACCATTGTCATCATCATCATCATCATTATTATCATCATCTTCATTGTAACCATTACTATCATCACCACCATTGTCATCATCATCATCATCATTATTATCATCATCTTCATTGTAACCATTACTATCATCACCACCATCGTCATCATCATCATCATCATCCCGTATACATGTTCCTACCTGAAGCTGGAGAGACAGATGAACTTTACCTAAATATTTCAACTATCGATCAATTCTAGAGACACAAACAAAACAAAACTACATTTACTGTATACTAAATGTTACCTGTTAAACTGGCCATCACTTGAAAACTCCCCTGCCACAAATAATCCAGATGGCCATGGCCTCAACTTCCTCAAAAAGGTTCAATACTGACATTGGATATAACTCTCTTACAGATGACAGCTCAAGGATCACTCTTGGTTTCATTTCATAGAACAACTCTTTCTGAAAATGATAAACAAAAAAAGAGTCACATAACTTTAAAAAAAATATCACTTTTCACCGCTTTAGCATGAAAAAAATAATAATAATTGGAGTAATTTTGCACATAAAATGGCTAAATCAAGTTATTACATTTTAATAATTTCGAATAACATTTCCCCTGGCTGTGTTCTGGTATTATCTTCATGGTATATGGAGAACAGTGTGTCTCAACGTTGACACATCCCAAACATAAGATGATTCAGAATATTTTCGACCTCTCAAATCAATCTTCACTCCTTCATTTGTTTTAATTTATTTTGAAGGGTCTTCCGAAAGAGGATATCTGTTGCCATGAAATCTTAAGAGAAATCATGGTTTATCTTCCTTTATATGTGGACGATTGGCTGACCTTTGGGCCTTGGTGAAGAGGAAGTCACTTTATGAACTTCCAAAATTCTAAAAGTTTTAACCTCTCTTGGGTTATAATAGTTTACCCAAAATCCATAATCAAGCCTTGACACAGATACCAGAGGCTGGGTGTTTCCCTGTCAGGAGTCGGATCATATGCAGCTTTAACATCCAACCTCCTGGGAATTAAAGGATTTCCAACGAGACTGAGAGACCTACATAGAGTGATCCAACTTTTGCGACTTTTTCCATGGTGCCTCTTTTGTGTGTACAGTAATTGTGTGTTTGTGTAAAGACCCACAAAGTAAGGCTTCCTCTAACACCTTAGCACCTTCTGGCTCCAAACTGGAAGATTCTTCCAGTACATCACTCTGGTGACTTGTAGATACCTCCCTCTCCCAAATTAGTTGTCTGGACATTACTTAAAACTGGGCTCGTCTTCATATTTTCGATTTAGAGGAGAGCCCCCCTTCAGAGATCACACATAGACCTTAAAGAGTTACTGGCAATTCTCTTTTTCCCAAAACATTATTATTGTCACTAAATAAAGGACATCACAAGCTTCTCTCTATAATATCAAAGCTTACCTGAAGCTTAAGAAGAACACCAAATCAAAAGCCTTTATATTAAATCCACTGTTCAATTGTCCTTGGTCTGAGGGTAGTTTCTTACAGAATATTTATCTAAAATTAAAATAAAACAAAGCCATCTGACCCAAGAGCTCATGACATCATGAACAACAGCTTCACTGGCAAGAAGCTAGAATCCAAAATAGTTCTAAGTTTGGAGTTTGAAGGCCATCAGGGGTACTTTTAGGGAAGAACCATCATAAAGACATCTTCAACTCAGCTTCCATCACCTTACATCTGTGAGCATCAATCAGACTTGCCTTCCTCCTACAGTAATTTCTTCTAGCTGGAGCTACACGGTCATGACCTGCAATCCTGTATGGCCACAATTGAAGACTTGAGTCTGTAAAGGCAGGGATATGTCATGACCCCTAATCCCCTTCCTTCTCTCCTTTGTGTCTGTCCTTGAAGCCCTAACAAGGTGAAGACTGTGGTCAAAAGGCAAGCATGAGGATCTGTTAAGGTATGGTAACCCTCAGAGTTTAATAATCTATGTTTCTTTCTTGGTTCATTGAAGTCTAAGATCTCCAACTCTTTTTGCTTCTCAGTTTTAGCCTGTCTTGATAATTAATTCATGTCAAACTAGAAAATTATCTGAATTTTTCAACCAAAGGCTCTTTGTAGTTCAGCATAGTACCTAGTACATTAGGTTTGTGTAAAAATCGTAATGCTAACGTACCACTCCTTTCAGGCAGAAAAAAACACTGTAATGAAGTATCCATTTCCCTGACGAAACAAAATCACACAAGTAAAGCAATTTGTTTACTTAATGACCAAAAGAGGCACAGTTCTCTTACAAACATAATCTCCGAGTCTTTATTAACACTGGAGGTTGGAAGCTTCTGGAACATTAAGGATAACTGTTCCACATATCATCCCATTCTGAATGTTGAAAATAACAAATGTAGTAATTATATATACAGTACTGTGTTCCTGATGCCTGCTCCCCTGGACAGGTATCATAGAGGCACAAGACTTACATTTGGGAAAAGAAAGAAATAATATACACCCGTACAAGATAAAATAAAAGAGTACTAGGCCACTGACAGTACAAGGATTATATACCAGCTGTGATAACAAAAACAAATACAAATAAGATAATTTTATTATAAAACAGAAAATCAAACAAATATACAATCAATTCTCCTCCTCTTCCTCATCTTCATTAAATGATAAAAGTTTCTTTTTCTGTAAATCTTTCTTCTTGTCCTTTTTAGATTTCTTTTCTTTTTCATCTCCTTTCAACTTCTTGGGGTCTGTTTTTCCATCTTTGTCTTCTCCGCTACGTTTTGTTGGCTTACGGAACAAGATTCTGCCATCAGGAGGCGGCTCTGCAATGAACAAGCTTGTATAAATTAAGTAGTATAACCACTATATAAATAATAATAGATCCTACGTATTTCTAGATCAAGACACACACAAATGTCAAATAAAAGAGAAAATAATAAAGGGAAGAATATAAAACAGGTGTAGAAAATACAGTAACAAGAAAGTGATAAGACAACAAGCAAAAATATCCACACATTCTTTTTCGTATCTTGAACTTGCACGGGCAAGACATTCCAACCTTGCACTTTGCGATACCATTTGCGAATATATTTTTTTATACAAACTAGCAGAGAAGCATACATGGACACTCTTGTACTCATATAAATACCTATTAATGTTAACTATTAAGAAGTTCTCAAATAAGTACTGTTGACCCAAAAATTATTCGTTTCCTTTTACCAACATCACTCTGTAGCTGTTAAGTCATCGGTCAAATACAAATTCTATCTCTCTTTTATCTTTAATTCTCTCCCAATTTTGTGTAAGGTGGATTAAGAAATTAAGAAACAGGGGCAGAAACAGTAGTGGAGAGGCAAAAGAACAGGAAAAGGGTGAAATATCAAGTGGACACACACATTGTACACAAGCACACATTCATACTTCCATATATCCTCAACTAACATACAAAGAGACAAAAAAAGGCTAAAACATCATGCAGAAACACATACAATATACCACATACACAAACATACACATTTCCATAAATCTTCAACTTATATAAAAAGTATAGAATTTACTTACTTAGGTAGGTACTGGACAAAGGTTTTATGCCTATACTGTATCTGCATCTCCAAACAGTGGTTAAGGTAGAACCACACTGTTATCTAACTTCTCTACAATTTCAAAGTTCATTTCTTCTCTAATGGACTAATTTTATTCCATTAGACTTGCTGCTTCTGTCATTAATACTGCTAAAGAACACCCACAGTTTTCTTCTAATTTAATCTCTAATTTCTTTCCTAATCACATTATAATTACCTAATTTCTTTTCTGTGAAGTATTTACATAAGAAAACTAGACATGACACATCACAAAAATTCCCATACGAGGCGTAGCTAAATACAGAAAAATTTCCTTTAACCTAACTCTACCATTAAGAACCTGGCCATGAATTCTGTAATGTACATAACATATCTACGGAAGGAGTTATATAAGCATAGCAAGTTTCTGTGCAATACCATAACTGCTTTCAAAAATACAAAGCAGACAATGAACTGTTGGTTGACAGACGAGGGGACATGGTGATTGCTACAGTACAGTATATGGTTCCTGCATCTACAGTATGAGGCCCTAATAAACTATATCAATCTACAGTATTAACTCTATTTTTTTTCCACGTATAGAAGGAATAAATCATGAGGTAGACAAATCTTAAAGGTGGGAAATAAGGGATAGCATGATAAAAATAAAAGGCAATTGTAAAAGATGACACAACACATTTATAAAAACAAGTGTCACCTAATTGTCTAGACAAAATATTGCAAGAATTTCAAACTTTTTATAGCATGATCAGTAGTGTAATGGTTTATTGGAGAGAGATACAGTACAGTATATAAAAGAGGATTACCCGAGTCATTACCCTGCCTACTTTTTTTACCAGTTATTGTCACCCTTAGCTCACGCCTCCAATACAGCCTGAACAGTTACCTCTCAGATCAACTCCAGTTCTTGTTGGGAGTTAAATATAATACCTCATCCATTAAAACACTTAGTACAGGATTTGATCTAACTGCATTCCTGAGCCACAGTATTAGTTATAATATCGATAATTCTTTATGAACTTGTAAGAATGTTTACAAATGTCTAATGACCAAGTTTGAGGTTAGCCAGCATGTTGGTATACCAGACCGAACAACATCAAGGGGAATCCTCGACCTCACTTTATATAATTCAACCAATCACATATTAGCACTTCCTATTCCAGATGTAGGTAGCTGGTCTAAGGATCATAAGAGGAAGCTGGTGCAGTCTGATGTGGAATTTCATAAAAGTTTCATTTCAGAAGTTAGATGAGGATATGCTCCATGTCCCTCCATAGAGGTAGTTGAGTCTACATGTAATACTGTATGTCTTCTGTGTTCTGTATGAGGACATAGGAGGAACTATCTTGGAGTCTGACGGCTGGCCTATACTGCATTGGGTCATTCAGTGACACCAACTGGGTTGACTGATTTTCCCAGGTAATCTATCTTGAAGGAGGTCACTAAGGGCACACTCCTCATTTTTTTCAATAGTTTTCATTGACAAAAATTTTGTCGTATGTTTTCACTTGCAATATGACCTTCCTTGAGGGAATTACATAGTTCATTCATTTGCATCTTCTGATGAATGTAAACTATGCCAGATAGTAATTAACACACAGAAGCCAAGCATTAGGTTTTAAATACTAACCCACAAAGATTAAGATTCATAACTTTCAATAATTTCAGGCTAAACCATAAGCATCAACATAAAGTCATGGGCACTAACATCCTTAAAACTAAACTTGACATGTACTGTAGTTTACAGGGTATTATAGTACAGTACAGTATACTGATACATAATACTACAATATATTATCAGAGGAAATATTAAATACACAACAGAAATAAACAAAAGACAAACTGAAGAATGACCAGTAAAAAAACTCTTAGTGAAAGTACATTCGAGACTAAAAGGAGTAAGTCTCGGCTGACACGTGTTGCCAACCACATAATAATGGTGAGCTTCCATAAAGGTGTTGAGATCCATTTATGTTTCAACACACTCCAGTGACTCATCAGCCATTAGAGGCAGCCATAACATGAATAGATATCTCATTAAGCTCCAGATAAACCTAAATGAACAGTGGCTCACTCACCAATGGCCTGTGACCATAATATGTATATGTAATTAAAAACTTTCTCCACAAAAAACACAGGAAATATTGACTATTATCCAGTTAATAACTGATAAACTAACCTTCATCTTCCTCTTTGGAAACGTTGACCTTCTCGCAGTTCCCTCGTAAGAGATCGTCCAGCTTCCCTTCCGCTCGCAACTTGTCACACTCCTCTTGCGTCAAGTCATTTGAACGTAAACTCACTACCTGATCAAACATGACACTTATAAGATATAAGCCAAACATACCTAAATTGTGTGTCCATCAAGCAATTTTCATTTTACAGAAAATATGCAAGAAAAGACAGTTACCAGTTTTAATTACAATACAGTACTGTATTGTATCTGAAAATTTAGGGCACTATTGTTTGTAGCTAAACAATATGCATTATTTTCTTAACACAATAAATTTAGACTGCAAAAAACACTCTAAAGTTAATTATGAAAAATCTACCAAATTTAACACCCTGCTCTCACAAAAGTGTTGAGAGTTTCACCAATTTGTGTAAAATCATAATTAATGAGAAAACATATTGATAAGACAGAGATAATTTGTTTGGAAAACATAGAATTTACAAGCAATTCTTCAATAATAAATTCTTTCTGTTGTATGTGTGTGTGCTGGGGGAGAGGGGAAGGCCTGATTCCAGTTGAAGTGAAACATGTTGAAAAAAAAAGAAGCTAACTGGAGTCTTCTAAGGTGGTATGGACAAACTGTACTAAGAAAACAGAAAGTGAAAGATTGGTAAAAAAAGTGAATAATGGTAGGAAGATGGAAACACCAAGAAGGAAGGATAAGAAGATAAATGCACTAGAAATGATTGAGGTTGAACATCAAGAAGAAGAGTAAATGAATGATGGAAGAGCCAAGCATAGAGTGATGACGTTTGGGAACTTTACATCAGTATGAATGAATAGACAACTGTAAATAAATGAGAAAATGTGTACAGTACTTGCTCTTGGCTCTGACCACTCTGCAACATAGCAAGTGAAGCAGTTAGTAGTAATGGCCTGATATCCCTCCTCTTCCTGCAATTAAATTCAACAAAAGATGCTGTGGTTGTTGACTAGCATACCTGTGGCATATCATCATCTTGGTCTTCGAGGTCTTCATCTGTGGCTGCTGGCATCACCGCAAACTGAAAAGATATATACATACTTTACTACATACAGTACATATGGTTATTGAAATAAATATACTGTACACGGTCTATTGTTATCTAAATTTCTCCTAATGTCATCGCACAAGAACCCCTAAGCATTAGTATTTACCATAATAATTTATTTTTCAACAATGCTCAGTGGTTCCTTTCTGTTAAAATTAATCATAGTTAGTGATAGTTCTCATTTGCCAGAGCCATAGGGAGGCAGAAGCAGCAGCATACTTTTCCAGAAAAATTCTATCAATTACGGGCTTGTGGACGAGTTTCCGAGTTAGAAATTCAGGAGAATTTTCCGAAAAAATTCCAGAAAATCACTTTTTCTTTTTTCATTGTCTACGAGTATATTCCAATGTTTAAATCAGGTTGTATTTTCTGAAAAATTCTGAGAAAACTTCCAGAAACTCTCTTCAATTTTTTTTTCTGGATCTGGGAGCAAATTTCGGGGATAAAATACTGTAATGCGTAATTCTGAAAATTTCCGAGAAAATTACGGAAATAAAAAAGGGACAAAGAAAAAAATAACGGAGCTCTTCCTCCACCTGAATTGGGTTATTCTTAAGGTAAGAAATAGTTTATTTTAAATAGAGAATTTTCATTAGGAAGCTCATTAACCTGGAGCATCCTCATAGAGTATTAAATTACATACTGTACCAACAGTTCTTATTTTAACACTGCTCAGGTTGTTTACAACCGACCCGCTCAGTCCGAGTGTACTCTCATGTCCACCAAAAACGTAATATTACACAATGATGCTCCAACAAAGTTGCTTTCATTGGTACGAGATATCAAAATAAGTACTTTCGGCTTAATATAACACGGGAGCCTGGGGTTTCAGGAAGTTAGGTACGGTTAGGTAGGTTTCTTTGGTTGGTTAGGTCAGGTTCAATTAGGTTCTAGTTAATGTCGCCTCTTTTAAAAACATCTATGGAAAACAATTAACAAAATCAGACAACTCTTTCTGGTGGTAGAGCTGTTTTTAGACATTACCGTAAAAAGTTGTAGTGTCATTTTTATTAGTTATACTGTACAGTATTATCAACCAAACAACATCTGTATAAAATATAAATGGATTAATATTACTCTTTAGTTCGTCCACATTAGGTAAGGTTAGGTTAGGTTAGGTTAGGTTAGGTTAGGTTAGGTTCTTTTCGATTCATTATTATTCATTTGCGACAGAAATGTATTGAATAAAAGTTACTCAAAATGATGAGATATTTCTATTGCATGTATTAAAAACCTTAAAATCACCAAATTTAAGTATAAAATAATATTAATTCTTGCCAAAATCATGGATCGACTAAAAAGTTAATTTCACCTATAAACAAACTATATAAACACTTTCAGGTTTTAACCATCTACTCCACTATTACTTAAAGCACCCTTAAGGAAATAATCATATGGTAATTATAGATCTAGAGTATATAACCTTTTCCTGTAAGCCATTGTCCTCCTTGTAGCCGACCTGCTCCTTGAACCTCTTGAGGAAGGCTGGCTCCTCTGGCCTAGAGTACGACACATTAACACGTTTACCCGTCCACCCCGCCATGCCTCTTGTCCTTCTTATGAGAAGGAGAAGGTTCGGTACAGGATAACTCGTCTTACTCACAACATTCACAAGTTGTTGACAGATTAGAATGTTTTGGGTTGAACGATGAGATTAATGTTGTACACTTACCACGGACAGAACCCCCCCCCCTCCCTACGTTTATGTTTCTTATAATATTAACCAAAGAAACCTAACGTGATATATAATATTATAATATTGTTATTTTAGATATTTTTTTAGGGATTTATATTAGAAATACAAGAAAAAAGAACCTTAGAGGTAGTTCGTGGTTATTTACTAGCATTAATTAGATGTATTGCTGAGTGATGCAAGGTTTCTTCTTTTATATAAATATATCTTGTATTTATCGTAGATTATATAACTCGTAAGTTACTGTAGTGAAATATTTAAAATATGAATCAATAAAGCTTGTAATATTTTAGTTTATCATTTTAGTTTAACCCTTTAAATGCTATTGTTTATGTAAATATTAGCCTTTAAAAGAACACGTGTTACTCCTCTCTAAAAACACTGACGTCATCTTCTACGCATGCGCAGTGAGGAGCGGGAAAGTTAAGTAGTGACGCCAGACAATTATTAACTTATAATTGATCTGTTGGGAAAGTGAATCCATTATTCTTGAATTATACACTCTAAGATATTACAACAACCCAAGTATCGGATTTGAAGAGGTTTATGGTGGTGGTCGTCGAATATACAATGATTTCTTATAAAAACTGAATATACGTCGGCAGCCATTTAACTCCGCAACTACAAAGGTAAGTTATTCTATTTAAACTAAAAATTATAAATAAATTCACAATTAAACCTATATATTCACGAACTGCGAATTATTTAACATAAAACTGTTCTCATTTTGAATTTATAACGAGAAAGTAAAAATACGTAATGAATAAATTACATAGGCCTATAGGTAATAAAATCAGTTAAAGTTGATTTATTTGTCTCTTTAAACTACAGGCCTAGTAGTTATTAAAGTTACTGACGCTTCATTCAGTTAGTCAGTGTCGTTTTTCCTTGACCATTTCATTTTAAAAGTATTCAGTATCACATTTTTAATAAATTACTTAAGTGTATTTATTATTGATGTTGATATTCTTAAATACATCTGATTTGGTTGTTAACAATTGACGGACGTGGAAAGACTGACGTGCTCAGAAAATTGACAATCTTTAGAAATTTTATGCAAGAAAATGATGAAAAAGGTGTTAGTGTGACGTGGAAAATATTGGAAATTAATTACTGGAAGGAAAATCGGTGAAACCATTATATAATCTCCGGCCATGACACTTTAATGGACTTTCCTCTAGAATGGTTAGTGAAAATTGTATCTCTATTATTAGTAATAATAGAGATACAATTTATTTCATTTGTAGAATAATAAACCTAACATGACTATAATGACATACAATGTTCTTAATCAATCTGAATAGGGTTTTAAATCATGTTTATGACCTAAAAGTCACTGACACATTGCCCCATAAGCCATTTAGGTTTGCTAATACTTTACACTGTTCCAAATCTTTAGTTCCACTGAAATAGGATGAGTTTTAAGCGTTGACTTAATGGGTATTATTTACGTCCTGGAATTAATGTAAAGAAGATAGAGTGCCGACAGCTATTATCAGCATGAAATAAAATACAAACGGAAATATTTAGACAAGTTAGAGCAAATAGCACAGTGTTTCATAGATATTCTTAGCTCCGTGATTATTAAGTACGAGGCTACTTCACCAATGTTAAAGAACGGAAGTGACTGCTGTGAGCACTTTGAATATCTCAATGTATGGGATAAGAAGTAAAAGTTAAATCTCTGTAAGTATTTTAAAACTCTCCGGAGTCTTTATAATTCAATTGACATAAATTTTGATGATGTACAATTGGAGAACAGAGATATGTTTCTTTTGTTATTTAAATCTTTCTTGAATAGGCTATGGGTATTTTCTAACCTAAACTATGCGCTTAAAGGCTGTTGTTAAAGTTGACTTAGGACACTGCAATTACCCTAAATTTATGATTTATGCACCTGTTGAAACATTCAGTATCACCGCTTGTTTGTGAAATATTTCAGTAAGTAGTAACATCGTGATAAAACTGAGTTATTTATTTCAGAGACGTAAACTGAATGTTTTTTTTTTAAACCACAATACGACCAATTGTATACAAGACCAACTTTTAAAAAAATAATCTTTATGAGTGTCCTTCCTTCATCCTAAATTACGTGGTACTGTAGGCTATCAAATGAGTGGGATTAAGACCGCATTAAAGTGTGTTCTTACTAGATATGTTGTTTACTTTATGATATGCTGTTAATTTAAATATTGTTTACTTTATGATATTTACTTTATATATTGTTTACTTTATATGTTATTTACATTGTATCTTGTTGACTTTATGATGTTGATTACGTTATGTGTTGTTTGTTTTATATGAATTCTCAATCAATCAATCTAGACAAAATATTATAATAGGTGTTATTTATTGATCGAAATTTTGCTTATTGTTGAATGAGGTTTAGCTGCGTTTGTGTTAATTTTTTATTTGACTTATAATATTGTTTTATTATGGTGAGGGTTTCAATTGAATTTAGACAGTGAAATTTACACTTAAACACTGTTGCAAAATATGAAAAAATTAGCAAGTATTTCAAGTGATAATCTCAGATATGTTACAATATTTTTTGGAGTGTTCAAAATTCAAGGCACATTTGTTGGTTAGGAAATCCAATATGATAGCGTCTATTGTTATGAAAGTAAGCTGATAAGAGGTGAAATGATATATAAATAAAGAGTTAAGTATTACGTGTAGGAAAGTAAATAGAGTGAGCTAGTTTATCATAGACCGTTTTCTTTTACGGTGTTGTTATAAAGCATGATTGTGGGTAACTCAATACTTTCAGATAATAGAAGTAACCTGAATCCTTGCCTAAAATTCATATAATTCTTGGTAAGGATAAAGAATTATACAACAATCATTATATATTTGAAAATATATACGTAAAGAAACTGTGAAATCTAGTTACAATACATTGAGAATTGAGAAACGGTAGACAGCAGTAGTAGGGTGTGTTTATTAATAGTTTGTGTCTGCTCTATGTCTCATATTACGCGAGTCTATGGTGAGTTCTGTTTCTCATATATTTTTTCATTGTAATTAATAATTTTGTTACGCGCTTAAATACTTTAGTTGTTGAAGTCCAGTAATCACATAATAACTTCAACGTTCTTGAGCCTTACTTTTATTTCATCCTCTCCGCCACTGATCGGCTCCTTGATACGGTTAGATATTCTCTCCCCGGTGTTGTCTGATAGGAGGAGTGAGTTTGGTTGGTTGACTTATCTCCGTTATTTTATTCGTTGCTCACTGCTGCCAAAGAAGTGCTCACTTACTACCCATCTGGTGCACTCTTGGTGATCAGGGTGACCTATGGTGATTTTCATTCTTCAGACACTTTATTGATTAAGGTATTCGCTGGATAGTATAGTTGTAATGTAATGTAACATCTCGTATATTGTATCTTCACTTACTTTTACGGTACACTATCAACTCCCACACCTTTCCTGACCTAACCTAACCTAACCTAACCTAACCTGACCTGACCTACCCTTCCAAAGCTTTGCATTCCGTCGAGTCCTCAGATCTAAGATAACACATGTAAAATTAACTTTAATTTATCATAAGCATCCTGGTAGACAACTAGATACAAGAAATAGTGAAATAAAAACGTCTCGCCCAACGTGGGGCTCGAACCCACGACCCCGAGATTAAGAGTCTCGTGCTCTACCGACTGAGCTAGCCGGGCTGTTGAATTGGGTTATTAGGTTAAATTTTCCCCAATTTCATCGTGAGGTTTGGGTTTGCTTATAATTTTAGTTTTGTCATGTTTTAAACAACATTTTTTTTATCTTTGGTTCAATCGACATCATGTTTACAATTATTTGTTTACCTGCACTGCCTGTGTACTTGTTGATAGATAGATAGATAGATAGATGTACTACTTATAAATTAGAAATTACATATTTACAAACAATATACAAAGACAATACTACATAACAGCTTCACTAAAGAAATATCAATCAATCTATCTTAAGGCCGTTACTGAGTCAGGTACTTTTCCCCATTCCTGGAGACGCAAGAAGACATGAGAATTACCTGTGAGCAGCGACACACGGCGGCGGAAGTGGCTCGAACACCGTACAGAATCTCTATTGCGTTTAACGGCTGTCTTGTGGCAGTCCTTGTTTGGAGCGGCTTCCTGTGTAGTACCTTTGTTTGTATACCTGGCTGCACTATCTATCTATCTATCTGTCTATCTATCTGTCTATCTATCTATCTATCTTTGGCCAGCGTGGGTAAAAGGTCTGTGGTCCTGTTAATGTAATAATAATAATAATAATAATAATAATAATAATAATAATAATAATAATAATAATAATAATAATAATAATAATAATAACAGGACGAAAAACAATTAGTCAGTAATAAAGAAAATGATAAATGTTAATAAAAAAGGGACACAAAATGGTAAGTAAATGAGACGAAAACTAATAAATGAATAAAGAAATAATTTTAATAAGAATAAGACAAAATACTCAATAAATACAGAACTTAGTAATGGTGATAAGTATGAGTAATTAGATACAAAACTGTAAATAAAAGAGAATTGGTGTAAGTAATTATGTATATGATGTTGACAATGTGATTTAATGCCAACTATACCCCTGCTACCCCTTCCACTTGCCCCTACCTCCTCCCTTTCCCCCTTTCCCCCTTTCCCTTGTTCCTACACCTTCCCCCTCTCCCTTGTTCCTACACCTGCCCCTCTCCCTTGTTCCCTACACCTTCCCCCCTCTCCTTGTTCCTACACCTTCCCCTCTCCCCTGTTCTACCTGCCCCCCTGCTCCTCCCATTGCCTCACCCACCTACCCCCCCCCCTCTCCCCTTTCGTAATATCTACCCCCCTCCCTATCCAGCCCCCCCCCCAAAGCCACACCCACCTGCCAAAACATCTCTACTTTGGCTACATCAAGCTGTTCCCTCCCCTCCCCCTCCTCGCTTCCCCCTCCTTCCATCTGTGGTTCCCTTCATAG